CGTCACACCGTGCCGGGCCGCCCGCAGCGCCTGGCCCCTTCCCGGCCGGGTGCCGTCCTCGCAGTCGCCTCCACGGAGCAGCGTGGCCCAGGGCAGATGTTGCTGCAGCACTGGAAGTTTTGCCGACTGCTTCTCCCAGTTCAGGCCGTGTTTTCTGTCTGTCATAAATTCTTGTAGACAGTGGTTAAACTGCAGCGTGTCAGCAGACTTTGACATGGAGACCCCTGCTTCTTGGCAGACGGCGCGCTGGTGAACGAGCTGTACAGTTTGCTTCGTGACCCGGACCCTATTGTAGTCGTGAATTGTCTGAGGGCCTTGGAAGAGATCTTGAAGAAGGAGGGAGGAGTTGTCATCAACAAACCCATCGCCCATCATCTCCTCAACAGGTTTGTTCTCTTGGCTGTGAAGATGGTGCTGGAAGCTTCGTTCTTGTTCCTCCATTTCGTGATAGCAGAGTGGGAATCTCTGGGCTCCTGTCAGAATTTGCAGGGGGAGTCAGGCACCCAAAGCTGGAGGTGCCCATCGCAGGAGAAACTACATCACTTTTATGCTAAGGCCTTAAGAGAAATCTGAGATGCCCTGCTGTTCCAGGGAGTCTTTGCTTCAGCCGGTGGTTTGTTTTGGAACTGTAGATGAATGTCATTAGGTGTTTTTGGTGACGGTATACATGATATGTTTGTCGGACAGGTGTGTTCTAGTATGTCTCTCCCAGTCCATTGAAAAATATATAACTTACCCATTGCTTGAAGAAATTAATTTTTCTGTAGATAATTCTACATGATCTGGCGAAAGAGGGGTGTTGCTCTGTCCCGGGTTCTTGCCAATGTTGCTGTCTGGCTTGGAGCACCAGCAAAAGTGCACGTGACTGATACTGAGTTAAGCCTAAGTGCATAAACTGGTCAATTCTCTTAAGATAAAATTGGGGTATTTACTTCTGAAGCGTAGCATTTGGTTTGGAGCAGAGACCGTAAGAAACTCGGAGGCTAAGGCCTCTACTCTATGCAGCACAGGTCTTTGTGTGCTCACAGACTCCTGCAGACAGCGTTTATTCTCTTGGCAGGATGGCTGATCTGGATCCGTGGGGGCAAAGTGAGGTGCTTACCTTCCTTCTGCGCTACAGACCCCGCAGTGAGGAGGAACTCTTCGACATACTCAACTTACTGGATGGCTATCTCAAAAGCAGCAGCCCCAGCGTCGTGATGGCAGCCACCAAGCTTTTCCTGGTGCTGGCCAGGGAGTACCCACATGTGCAGGCAGATGTTTTGGTGAGAGTGAAGGGGCCGCTGCTGTCTGCCTGCACTTCCGAGAGCAGGGAGCTCTGCTTCACTGCGCTGTGCCATGTGCGTCAGATCCTTGGTAGCCTTCCGGGCCATTTCAGCAGCCACTACAAAAAGTTCTTCTGTTCATATTCAGAGCCCCACTACATCAAATGCCAGAAGATGGAGGTGTTGTGTGAGCTGGTGAATGATGAAAACGTACAGCAAGTGCTGGAGGAGCTGAAGGGCTATTGCACTGATGTGTCGGTAGAGCTTGCCCAAGGGGCAATCTTCGCCATAGGTAAGAGCTGTGTCCTGCCTCGCGAGCGGCTGCAGCCCTCGAGCTTTAGGGCAGGCCTTTCTCTGCTGAAGTATGTCTGGGCAAATGCCAAATAACTGATCTGTGCTGAAGCAGTACAGGCCTCTGTAGACCAGCCTACGCAGGAATGTTTTGCGTGAGTGTGTTTCTAAACCACGATTGTGCTGATTCTTTCAGAAGTCCTGGTACTGAACTGTTTCAGGTTGTGCATCATGTCCTTGAATCTTGTCTGTGCTCTGATGCGATGCTCTAAAGAAAGTGTGTCATTTCATCTTATTAATGAGCCTTCTAATGTTGAATGAAACTGTGTAGTGGGTGGAGGAGCTGCTTTAATAACTGCTTGTTCTTTGAATTGTGATGGGGGCAGAGTTAAGGTGTTTTGGAGCACTTTAGTTTTGGTTTTGTAAGCTTTAAAATAGGTGAGTTTCTATAGTATTCATAAGGAGAAAGCCAGGGATGCTAAAATGCCTTTCTTATGTGTTACGTTTAAAAATAGTTCAGACTTCTTGTGAGGTGTGGCTTCAGAGAAAGGAACATACCCCCTTGTCTGTGAATAAGCTCATTTGACTATGCTTTCAGAAATCGTAGTCAAAAAGGAAAAGAGAAAGACTTGTTTCTTTAAAGTGAGTTTGTGATGAATAGTTGGGCTCGTGGTCCCTATTTCACTTGGATAAAAGGTTGACTTTTATGTCCTTTTTTGTCTCTGCAGGCAATATTGCAAGAACATACACAGAGCAGTGTGTGGGGATTCTGACAGAGCTCCTGGGGCTGCAGCAGGAGCATATCACTTCAGGTGATCGTCTGCAGGTTGTTTGCCTGGCTTGTGCTTTCAGGAAGTGGCCTTGCTGGAGCTTGTGATGCGAGGCTCTGAAAGGCACTTGGCTTTTAATTTAATTGGCATCTTCAGGTGGCAGTCTTGCTGGTGGAGTGGGGGTGTGTACTGTGACCGGATGTTGTAGCTTTTGCTTCCTTAGGAACTGCTCTTTGTGGTGAAGGGGGAGATGGTCACAGCTGTGTTCGTGGTCCGATGTGGAGGCTCCTTTCTGGCTGCTGCCCACTGACTTAGGGAGCGAGGGACTCGGCGGAGAAGTTTTTGTGACTGTTTGAGGGCCAGGATGATTAATAGATTCTGAAATCTTTGTGATTTCTGTTCCTCATATAATAGCCTCATTCAGTTGTGCCCAGGCTTCTGTTTTTCTTCTGCTGCCCTCGGGTCTAACTTCCTATCATTGCTGTTTCGGCCCTCTCTTCTAAATGGTCTTGCTTTCAGTTTTGAAAATCACACACTTGCACTCAGCTGTTGAATGAGGTCCTAAAAGCTACTGGTGTTTCTCTAAGCGGGCAGCAGAGCCTTTAAAATTCTGACCTAAAGTTCATGAGACTCCTTTTGAATTGGTGTTAGTTTTAATTTGTCATTCTAACCTTGTGTGTCTGAAGCATCATGAGTCAGTGTCTGGGGAATGTCCAGAAGAGAGATTACTTTCCAGCAGGCAGAGGAACCATCTGAAGTTCCAGCGCTTTATTTTCGACTTGGTGCAGCTTTGCTCTGACAAACGCAGTGTTGTGGGACTTTGAAGAAGGGTGTCTTGGGTCATAGTCACAAGCAAGCCACTGACCTCCCTAGCTAAGATTTGTGAAGTCTCGAGTGGAGTTTTCTGGATTCCCCCCACCCCGCCCCAGAGGTTTTACAACTCTCGGGGAATGCTGAGCATTTTGTCTCCTTGCAGCGGTAGTACAGGCTTTTCGGGACCTGGTTTGGCTGTGTCCGCAGTGCACGGATGCTGTGTGTCGGGCACTGCCCAGCTGTGAGGACGCCATCCAGGACAGTGAGGTAAGGTGGCTTTGTGCCATGGGCTGGCAGCTGAGGGTGGGTGGACAGTGACTGTTTGGCACTCCTTTAGGTCGCGATTGGCAGGGCAAAGATCAGAAATCTTGGAAGATGTGTTCACTTGTATCTGTTTATTTTGTGTCAGCACTGTCTTTCTGGTAGACAGTGTCTATTTGCTATTTTTTCTGTGGTTCCTTCAGGGCAAGCAAGCGCTGATCTGGCTCCTGGGCGCGCATGGTGAGAAAGTACCGAATGCCCCCTATGTGTTAGAGGACTTTGTGGAGAACGTGAAATCGGAGATGTTCCCAGCAGTGAAGATGGAGCTTCTGACAGCGTTGGTGCGACTCTTCCTGTCTCGTCCTGCTGAGTGTCAGGACATGCTAGGGAGACTGCTCTATTACTGCATAGGTGGGTTCTCTTCATTCTGTTTCACAGAAGATGTAGTACAGGCATTTTGGGACCTGGTTTGGCTGTGTCCCCAGTGCACGGATGCTGTGTGTCAGCATCCGAGCTGTGAGGAGACCGTCCAGGATGGCAAAGTAGCATGGCTTTGTGCCTCAGGCTGCTCCTTGGCCCATGGCTGTTTGGTGGTGAGTGTAACAAGCTTACACTGTACCCCTGGGAATCTGTTTTTAGTAATTAAGTTTTAGTACTTTGGGGAAATTTGGATGATAGAATTCTCCATAAATTATGTCCCCTGTAATTCCCAGAGGAGGAGATGGATATGGCAGTACGAGACCGTGGATTGTTCTACTATCGCCTGTTGCAGTCTGGTGTGGAAGAAGTGAAAAGGGTCCTGTGTAGCCCCAAGTCTGACCCCTCTCTGGGGCTCCTGGAAGACCGAACTGAGCGACCTGTGAATACATGGGCATCAGAGTTTAATACTCTTGCACCAGTTTATGGCAGAGAATGCTGGGCACTCATCACCGCTCACCAGCCAGCAGAACCCTCTTACACTTGTTCTCCTTGTGCTGACTCCAGGAACAGAGACACAGGTAACCTGCCTCACCTTCATCTGCAATCCGTTTTCCCCTTGTCAGTAGATGTTCTCACTTAGGTGATCACAGTGCTTTCAGAATGCCGTCTTAGTGTTCCAACTGTCTTGTGCAGTGCACGGCTGATCACCACCTCACTAGCCCAGGGGATGCTGCTGAAGGCCCTGTGATTCCAGCCTGCTTCATCTGATGGCTCTACGAGATGTTCTCTGTGAAATCGGGAGCTGCACCTTACGTGCTGCATCTCACATGTTTGTGGTTTCATTTCAGAGGCACTGGTTTCTGAAGGGAATAAAGAAGTCCTCAAGGTTCATCCTGATACAGGCAGCCTGACCTTAATTCCTGATGTTCACCTGACTGCAGAACAGTTTGAGAAGACCTGGCTGAGCCTGGAGATGAGCTGCCACCTCTCTCTGCCCTGGTGTGGGACTGCTCATCCGGATACCATACAGACAGCTCTGCACGTTGTCCACATCCAGACTATTGCTATGAGCAAAGCTGGCGTCCAGCCGTGGAAAGCTTATCTCAGTGCTCAGGACGACACAGGTTGCCTCTTCCTCGCAGAGCTCTTGCTTGAGGCGGCCGACTCGGAGATGCAGGTGTTGGTGAAGCAGAGTGAGGCGAAGCCGGAGGCACTGCGAACCTTTCTTTCAGTGTTGAGGACAGTCGTGGGGGCCGTTGCCGGACTGGGGTCCCAGTAGAATGCTTGCTCACAGTGCAGAAAAAGTTTATTGCTCTGGCTTAATTTGCCATACCTGATGCTGGTTTTGTGCTTTTAAACTGCAGGAGTGTTAGCAGCCCTTTCCTGGGCCTAGTAAGCACACATGGGGTGGGGGCAGCTGCAGCTGGTGAAGGGTCTGTCCTCCCTCTGGGCTGGCGACAGGGCGCGGTGACGCATTCGTGAGCTGGCTGCTTCGGGCGCGAGTCACAGAAGTGGTGGCATCTGTGGTGATTGTCACAAGACACCAATGTGACTGATGGAACCAGGAACGAGGAAAATTCAGGGATGTGTCTTGGAGAGGTTTTTTCATGAGAACTGTAGATAATTCAAAAAAACAGTTCAGAGACTCCAGGACTGCTGGTTATCTCACATTAAGAGGAGCAGTGCAGCGAAGAGAGAAGTGTTTGGTTTTTGGCTTCCTTTACACGTGACTCAGTTTTCTGTCCCATAGACAGATTTTGATCGTAGCTTCACTTACGGTTGGACAGGGTACGTCGCGCTCACTAGAACCGGCATGTTTCTCTTGAAAGAAGCGCATTTTGTAGTTGAAATGTGTTACTGTAATCATGAATCGCCCTCTGAAATTCCCCCCTCAGGGCTCCTGTCAGGAAATGCAGGCGTGTGCGGTTGTGTACGAGGTGTTTGCGTGAGCCGACGTGGCGTGGGTTGTGTAGCCTGCATCGCTTCGGCCACGTCAGTGAGCTGCCAGGCCTTGGTACTCGCACCCACAATTGAAGAATTGCTGTTTAGATTATTAGCCTGTGTGGAATATGAAGTTTTTTCTGATACAGATTTTTACCTTTGTTACTTTGTAACTGGAGTGGATGCTTAAAGGTTTGTTTTTCTGTGTGTCCTGGTTTTGGTTAAAACAGAACCGATACTCTTTTACTGCATCTTTCTTACAGCTGAGTTCTCCTCAGTAACTGCGTTTTTCTGAAGCTGGCAGCATGTTTTACAGACACTGCCTGCTCCAAAGCTGGTAACGCCTGATGTTTATAGTTACACTGAGCTAACGGTAGGAAAGGAATGCGGAAAAAGGCCCCTGTTTATAATGGTCACTGACAGACCTCTCAGGTCCTGCGAGTGAGGAGTCGGAAGGGGTTGTACTTGCGGGGAGGGGTGGTGAGGGACGGTGACCCGATGTTGACCAGCGAGGTGTCCATGCCGTGCACGTCATACTCAGTTTAAAGCTGGGGGGGTCACGAGGGTCTCGCTCTCTTCATCCATGGCCGGCTGCTGAAGAGGACCCTGCTCATTGTTCTGCCTGTGATCCTGATCCAGATTCAGATCCGTGCGCCCCTGAGCCCAGTTCCTGCCTGCTGCCAAGACCGGTCCGGGACCTCTTGGTGCTGCCTGGCAGCTGATGGCGGGACCCAGTGACCGGCACCAGCTCCAGGAAACTGTCGGTTTTGTATATTCTGCATTATTTCTCTTAATATTATTAGTATTATTAGTGTTATTAGTAAAACCTTTTATATTCAGTTTGCAAGTCTCTCTCCCTTTTCCTCCTTTTTCCTTCCTCTGGTGGGAGGGTGGGGGCTAATAGAGAGCATCTGCCACTCAGTTTATTGACGCCCTGCTCTAACCTGTGGCACTGTGCGGTACTTGTTTCTGTGCAGTACTGTAATCCTGTCCTCGCAGTACAGTGCACGAGGTGGTGCAGTACTATGTGACTACATTTTTACAGTTTTTAGTGTTACGCTCCAGCCAGCCTCAGGACTTATCTTTCAAAGAGCATGTCGACAGCACTCGCGCGGCTCTGTTGGAGTCACGGAGAGTTGGACTTTGTACAGTGTCATCAGAAGAACTCCGTGTCACGGCCGTGAGTGGCCTTGACTAAGGTTGAGGTACACAGGTGACTGTAATGGGGCTGTATGGTGCTCTGTAAGGAGTGGCTTTGTTAACCCTGTTCTGTAACATTTCTTGTAATTTTGAATTTCTTTTAATGGCTGTATTGTACCTTTAAATTGCAATATGCCTTCCATACACTTCACTGAAAGACTGCTGTCACTGTTACACAACAGGGTTTAGATTTTATTGCTGATTTTCCTAATAAAAATGTGAATCATCCCTGGCTGTTTTCTGGAGTACTTGTTTGTTCAGCTCTTGACTTTGAAGTCTGCGAAGATGGAGTCATCTGATCAGTAGTGTGTGGATCTGGAGAGCACTGCAGTCCAGCTCCTGCCTCGGCATCGGACAGGGCTTTTCGTTCTCAACTTCTGTGAAGCAAAGGTTGAAGGAGCAATTGTGTAACAATTTATTTCAGTCTCATATGCCAAATTGCTGTAACAGGTGAGCTACCTACAGGTGAAATCAAAGGTAGATAAGAAGTCAGCTCTAGCAGGGCTCCTGTTAACAGTTTCCAGTGCCTTTGTGCACATGCTGTATTCCTGCCCTTACGGAGAGCTGCACTGGAGCACTGGCATTATGCAGTTTTCAGAAAAAAACTTGTTGGCAAGCTCTCATTCTCTCCACTGTGGCTAGACCGAGTCTAGTCTGTCTGGGATGGGACTTGGAGCTTCTAGCCGTTTATCCAGACACCTTAACACTTGTTAGTATTTTTTTCAGCTAATCTTAACAGAAATGTCTTATTTTGAAACTAAACCACGCCCATTGTTTGAATGACGACAGTTAAGGAAGCAAATATTGGCATATCATGTTGCCCCAGGGAGGAGCCTGGGGTCATGCTCTTCCCAGAAAGAAGAACCTGTGCAGCTCTGCAAAAAGGAAGCCAAACCTGGAAGCAAAGCTCACCTGGGAAGGAGAGCGGCTGCGGTGCTGTCCCTGCCAGCTCTGTAACGGGCAGGCACAGGGCAATGGCGACTTTCGAGGCACAGACAGAGTGTGTTGTGGAAGCCTTGTTCTCTGACCTGCTCGGTGAACATGAGACCGAGTGCCGGAGCCTGGAGACAGATGCGGGAGGTAAGGCCTGTTGTGGGATCCAAAAATGGTTTGTTTGCTGCAGATGACAGAGGAGCACTTTGAATGAGCACTTAAAGGAAGGAGGCTGTAGCTGGGGGTTGTTGAGTTTCCTGAAATGCAGGCTTGTGAGGACTTCCAGGTTGTCTCTGTTCTGGGGGAAAAGTGAGAGCAAGGTAAAGCTGTGTGAACACCAGGCAGCCCACAGCCGCAGTTTGCCGCGGTGGGGCCGGGCGAAGGGGGCTGTGAAGGTCAGCCACCCAGCTTGCCGCTCTGGGGCTGGGTGCTGGACGCAGGCAGTGCGGGCAGGGAAGGGGCTGCCCGCTGCTGTGCGCGGCACGGGCCTGCAGGTCCTAAGTAACTTGCTCCGAACCAACGGGGTGGGACAAGTTTTAACTGTCATTATCAAGAAGAAAGCTCGCATTGCTTAACGGATAAAACAGTTGCTTTAACACATGAGACAGAATGTGGTTTTTGCTTCACAAAGCTCCCAGTGTCATTTGGGCTACTTTGGTTTGCTGGGCGATGCTGCAAGAAACCCAGAATTTCGCCTGTGTTCGTATTGCTTTTCCCACTATTTTCTCAGCAACAAACCAGTTAAAATGTCCCAAGAAAGACTGAGATCCTGCTGACACCAGGTAGCAGCAGAGTCCGTTTCTCAGAAGCTTCGTGGAAGTTTGTCGCTTTGCCCAAAGGAAGCGTTTCCATTAGCGTGTTGCTCGTTGCTCGTTTCCCTCTCTAGGCTGGACGCTTGTGCCGCTGCCTGGGTTGTGCCGAGCGCTGCGGAGCTGCCCCAGACGCCCGGGAGACGCGGGCTTCTGCCCGGGGCTGCAGGAACCAGTGCCGGCACCCGAGCGAGAGCAGCCAGGCTGGGATTAGGGCTGGTGGGCGAGGGGCTGGATCAGGCAGTGATGCCTTCAGATAAAGTTGCCCACTGCTTTATTTCGAAAGATCCTGCTTTCAGATCGTTACGACTGCCATGCTGTTATGGATGGCTACAGACTCTTTAGGAAAAACAGGTCAACAAGGAGAGGTGGTGGAGTTGCTCTATATGTGAAGGAGCAACTGGAGTGCGTTGAGCTTTGCCTTGGGGCAGATGAAGAACAAGTTGAGAGCTTATGGGTTAGAATTAAGGGACAGGCTCATACGGGTGACATTACTGTGGGTGTGTACTACAGGCCACCTGACCAGGAGGAGGAAGTTGATGAGGCCTTCTACAGGCACTTGCAAGTGGTTCTCAGAGGGGACTTCAACCACCCTGACATCACCTGGGAAGACCATACAGCTAGGCAGGCGCAATCCAGGAGGTTCCTACAGAGCATCGATGATAACTTTCTGATGCAAGTGGTGGAGGAACCAACAAGGAAGGGCGCGCTGCTGGACCTTGTATTAACAAACAAGGAGGGACTGGTGGAGGACGTGAAGGTTGGAGGAAGACTCGGCTGCAGTGACCATGAAATGGTCGACTGTTGGACTAAATGACCTGCAGAGGTCCCTTCCAACCCTGAACGTTCTGTGGTTCTGTGGTTCTGTTGGACTAGATGACCCACAGAGGTCCCTTCCAACCCCAAACTTCCTGTGGTTCTGTGGTTCTGTTGGACTAAATGACCTGCAGAGGTCCCTTCCAACCCTGAACGTTCTGTGGTTCTGTGGTTCTGTTGGACTAGATGACCCACAGAGGTCCCTTCCAACCCCAAACTTCCTGTGGTTCTGTGGTTCTGTTGGACTAAATGACCTGCAGAGGTCCCTTCCAACCCTGAACGTTCTGTGGTTCTGTGGTTCTGTTGGACTAGATGACCCACAGAGGTCCCTTCCAACCCCAAACTTCCTGTGGTTCTGTGGTTCTGTTGGACTAAATGACCTGCAGAGGTCCCTTCCAACCCTGAACGTTCTGTGGTTCTGTGGTTCTGTTGGACTAGATGACCCACAGAGGTCCCTTCCAACCCCAAACTTCCTGTGGTTCTGTGGTTCTGTTGGACTAAATGACCTGCAGAGGTCCCTTCCAACCCTGAACGTTCTGTGGTTCTGTGGTTCTGTTGGACTAGATGACCCACAGAGGTCCCTTCCAACCCCAAACTTCCTGTGGTTCTGTGGTTCTGTTGGACTAAATGACCTGCAGAGGTCCCTTCCAACCCTGAACGTTCTGTGGTTCTGTGGTTCTGTTGGACTAGATGACCCACAGAGGTCCCTTCCAACCCCAAACTTCCTGTGGTTCTGTGGTTCTGTTGGACTAAATGACCTGCAGAGGTCCCTTCCAACCCTGAACGTTCTGTGGTTCTGTGGTTCTGTTGGACTAGATGACCCACAGAGGTCCCTTCCAACCCCAAACTTCCTGTGGTTCTGTGGTTCTGTTGGACTAAATGACCTGCAGAGGTCCCTTCCAACCCTGAACGTTCTGTGGTTCTGTGGTTCTGTTGGACTAGATGACCCACAGAGGTCCCTTCCAACCCCAAACTTCCTGTGGTTCTGTGGTTCTGTTGGACTAAATGACCTGCAGAGGTCCCTTCCAACCCTGAACGTTCTGTGGTTCTGTGGTTCTGTTGGACTAGATGACCCACAGAGGTCCCTTCCAACCCCAAACTTCCTGTGGTTCTGTGGTTCTGTTGGACTAAATGACCTGCAGAGGTCCCTTCCAACCCTGAACGTTCTGTGGTTCTGTGGTTCTGTTGGACTAGATGACCCACAGAGGTCCCTTCCAACCCCAAACTTCCTGTGGTTCTGTGGTTCTGTTGGACTAAATGACCTGCAGAGGTCCCTTCCAACCCTGAACGTTCTGTGGTTCTGTGGTTCTGTTGGACTAGATGACCCACAGAGGTCCCTTCCAACCCCAAACTTCCTGTGGTTCTGTGGTTCTGTTGGACTAAATGACCTGCAGAGGTCCCTTCCAACCCTGAACGTTCTGTGGTTCTGTGGTTCTGTTGGACTAGATGACCCACAGAGGTCCCTTCCAACCCCAAACTTCCTGTGGTTCTGTGGTTCTGTTGGACTAAATGACCTGCAGAGGTCCCTTCCAACCCTGAACGTTCTGTGGTTCTGTGGTTCTGTTGGACTAGATGACCCACAGAGGTCCCTTCCAACCCCAAACTTCCTGTGGTTCTGTGGTTCTGTTGGACTAAATGACCTGCAGAGGTCCCTTCCAACCCTGAACGTTCTGTGGTTCTGTGGTTCTGTTGGACTAGATGACCCACAGAGGTCCCTTCCAACCCCAAACTTCCTGTGGTTCTGTGGTTCTGTTGGACTAAATGACCTGCAGAGGTCCCTTCCAACCCTGAACGTTCTGTGGTTCTGTGGTTCTGTTGGACTAGATGACCCACAGAGGTCCCTTCCAACCCCAAACTTCCTGTGGTTCTGTGGTTCTGTTGGACTAAATGACCTGCAGAGGTCCCTTCCAACCCTGAACGTTCTGTGGTTCTGTGGTTCTGTTGGACTAGATGACCCGCAGAGGTCCCTTCCAACCCCGAACATTCTGTGGTTCTTTGACTGCATCAGATGTGGAAACGGTTTTGCTGAAAACAGTGTTGGGTAGCTCCTTCTGGCTGAACCTTGTTTTGGTAAGATTATGAAAAAATAAATTATACTTTGTTGTTGGTTTTTCCCCCTCAGGATGCTTTAAGGGAATAATGCTTAAACTCAGGCGCTCTGCCCCCCCCTTTAGGTAGTTTAGCTGAGAAGTTCTCATGCTTTTGTATGAAATTTGTGTGAATTTATGTGAAATTTGTGAAGTACGCCTCCTGCTCCTTTGCGAAAACCTTCCCAAATTTGGGTCACTGTGAAGCTTTGAAATGTTGCAGTTTGCACTTAGTCGTAAAAGACCTGGAGTATAGTATCCAAATTCTCTGAAGACTGCACGTGACGATCTGCAGCCTCGCAGTGCTGGGGGAATGCAGGCAGGGCTTTGCCGTCGGGTTGATGCTGCTGTGTCACTGCAGTCAGCAGAGAAAGATGAGATGTTTTCCAGCTCCTCTGACCTCCCTTGCTTGCTTCTGGTAGCCGGGGAGGAAGGAGCTGCCAGAATCCGGAGGGGTAGAAGAGAGGCCTTAGGGATGCCCCTGGAGGAAGAGGAGTGGGAGTGAACTGAGACTTGAGCATGCAAGCAGCTGAGGTGGGAGGAAAGAGACCCAGACAAACCCACGGCACGGAGCCCTCGGTCCCTGTAAATCAATGAATACTTGAATGGCTGTATGACGTTCCTTAGGGACTTTGGTTTTACATTTCCTAAGTCCCTGTAAATCGATGAATACTTGAATGGCTGTATGACGTTCCTTAGGGACTTTGGTTTTACATTTCCTAATGTGTCTTGTCACAGGTCTACCCTGCATTAACCTCTCGAGTGCTTGAAGCAGTGGGCGCCACCATGCCCGTCGAAGGCAGCGTTTCAGATGCAGCAGGCAGCTTTAGAGGCCGGGCTGTCGGTGTGTGTTCTCCTGCTCTGCCTGTAGTGCGTTATGCTGAACCCGCTCACCCTGCTCTCTCTGCTCCAGAGCCTGTGCAGTCTGCAGAAGAGCCCACCACCACGTTCGACCCCGTCGTGATTGCCAGTCGCCTGCGGCAGATGGGGGACCAGTGCAACATGGATTTTGAAAGGGTTTCCTCGGAGGCTCTTGCTGAGGTGCTCAATGGAAAGGTAAATGGCACCGTGTCGTGCCTGGCCTGGCCTGCTCCTTGTCTGTGGGCCAGCCTGGTGTCAGAGAACAGCAAAGCCCGGGGAGCAGCACGGCTCCCGCTGCAGGAGCTGGGCTCCGCAGGGACGGGGGCGATGCCCCACAGCCTCCCCCTTTCCTGTGTGGCGGTGGCCAGGACGGAGGCCAGATGAGGCGCGGGGAGCTGGGAGCTGGCTCTTCTCCTCCCT